GTGTGTGTGTGTGTGTGTGTGTGTGTGTGTGTGTGTGTGTGTGTGTGAGTGTGTGAGTGTGTGTTAGCTTGCAAGTCACGTGCTTCTATTGGAGCGGAGTAAGTAAAAATTCGGTAAAATCGTAGTCCAAGTTGATCAACCAATTATATAGCAGTTTTTTGCTTTCAAATTTAATAATATTGTTGTTGTCTCTACTAAGTTATGACGCCATTTTCCCTCATTATACTTTAAAGTTCCATATTCTTTCCATTAATACAGTAAAATTGTTATATAAAAAAATCTTTACTATTAAAATAGGGATGCCGCAGACGTCTGTATCCGCATCCGCATATTTTAAAATATCTACTTCCGCATCCGACATGCGAATCAATCGATGTAGTTTTTGCGGTCGGGAGTAGGCCCTTCTCTAAGTTCGGGCTTTAAACTAGTGCTACTTAGCCTAACAGAGATCGGGAATTCGGCAGCGTGTAGTACAGGCAACGGTCTGTTTGTTTGCTAAATAAAAATAATAGACTTTGCATTCACTTGCGAATTTTTATGCAAGATAGCCCAGCTCTATTCGCACAAAGGTCGGCCCACAACATCTTTATATTTTTACTTTAAGTATTTATAAATGTTGCAATATTTCCATGCCTTGTATCTTTCATCTCTTTTGTAATAAAATTATGTAAAATTATTATCTTTCACCTAAATTCATGATAATTGAGTGATTATAAAATTTACAATGATCCACATTTATTCTGAATATTTTTTTCACATATCTGCATCGCATTTGCATCCGTATCTGCAGATGTCGTCTTAACCGCATTTGCGGCATCCCTAGTCAATAGTTTTCTCCAAATCCATATAAAAGCTTTTATAATCTTGTAACATTAGCATAAAGTTGGGACGTTTGACAGAAATTACGAGTTTTTGAGCCGGTGTAATTTTAAAGTTACGTAATTTATCTGGTTTCCAGACCAGTCACGATCTTCAGTATTATTCTTAATTAGTTCCATTCTAAAACAAGCTAAAGCTTCGTTTGAATGGTACCGCCTTACTAAGATTATCCACTTAAATTTAAAAACTAATGCATTAGAATTTTCATCTTTTTCTAATTATATACAGGGTTATTATTGTAAAATACTAACAATCTCCTAGGTCTATACTGCTAACATCATAAACAACATTTTTTATTCTATGAGTTATCATTAGCCAGATTTTACTTTCGTTCAAAAATAAAAATATTTAAATATATCGCTTTGAAAATGCGCTAGCGTAAATACCAGTCCGATGCAAAACGCAGGAACAGAGGTCGTCGTGGAGGACGCTTCCACGTTTGAACTTGCCTTACTACCAAATACCAGATCTAAAAAATATCACTACAACAAAACTTAAAAGTTTATTTTTGGTAAATTTATTAACTTTTGTAAAAAGTTATGGAACACAAATTGTTGTTTATGATTTTAGTACGAGTAATATAGTTTGTTAGTATTTTATAAATCGTACATGAAACCAAAAAACCAAACTGTCGTAACTCAAAATTGTCGAGTTGGGAAAATATAATAGAATAATGTGATTATTTTTAACTATACATAATACTTTATGGTTCATTAGAAATATAGTATATTAGCTTTATTCAGTAATTTAAAAAAGAAAACAAAATTTTGAGTTACGTCAGTATTTGGTATCGTGTGCGAAACCACCCCGCATACGTATAAACACAACCCGCCCTTTTTCCATCGGGATTGGCAGGGACAACAGCCTGACACTTACTACGATCCTGACACACATCTTTCGCCTCTACAACACGGGTCAATGCTTTTATAAACGCTCGCCGGGCTTATAGTACTTTTGACCTGGCCTTTCTTTGTCTTCCAATCAGAAATAATTTATTATTGCCATTACATTAAATTTTCACCAGATACCTCCAATGAACACTACGTCAACTTAATTTTTGTTCATTTTCTGTTTTTATTATGTTTCTTAATTTTTTTTCACAAAGTTTTTTATCGAATTTTGTTTTTTGTTTTTTTTACAAAATCCGGGAAGCATAAATTCATTAGTAAATAAATAAGGCTGTTTAAATTAAAAACAGAAAATGACCAAAAATTAGGTTGGCGTAGTATTTATTGGAGGTATTGAAATTATGGCTCCAAGCACAGTCAAAACAACTGTAAGGTGACAGTTCTTAGTTGTATTAATAAAGTAAACTAATTGTAAGGTTTATAAAAAAAAGACCAAGTTTGTAGAATTAATCTAATGTAAGTTTTATTGAAATCGGTACATAACTAGGTGAAATCTGTTAAAACTGGATATAACTAATTGGCCACCCTTAGAGGTGAAATATTTTCCTAAAATTTGAATGGGACAGGCATAATGATATACAATATCATTATCTCAGCCCGTTAACATCCACAGCTGGGTATATTATATCATAAATTATTTATTAATAGCACGCCTCATGGAAGAATGGCATAAGTGAAGTTACGTCAAAAACGTTTATTGCTCCATTAAATACAGAAAAATATAACCCACATTCTCTAGTATTCTCGTAACTGTATCGACTAATATTGTAGAGAGTTACAAGAATCGGAAAGGATGTAGTAACCCACATTTTTCTGTATCAAACGGAGCAATAAACATTTTTAACGTAACTCCACTTATGCCGTTCTTCCATGAGGGGTGATTGATAATTATTTAATGAAGTACATGACATAATTCGTTGTAGAAAATATTTTATTGTCTTATTGCACATGTTAAATGCAATAACGTCATGTCACGGAGAAAAAAAAAATCAATATTGTCTTGTTTACAGGTTTAACGGAAGCTGCAAAGGGCGTGTCGGGCCGAACAAATTCGCAAAGGACTCTGTTATCCATACTGCTTTGTTATTTATTAAGTTTGTACATATTTTCCTAGTTTATATCAATAAATGTACATACTCGTATTTGTTATAAAAAATGCTTTTTGTTTATTGCAAAAAATCGTAACTATATTACAGGAAATGATTCTTGTTTCTCTTGCCTTACATTATGGCGAAACTAAATGGCGAATGAATGAAGCGAATTTTCCAGCTCCACAGTTTCCTCCAGGAGCAGGGCACCTGGGATATTTTACAATGCACTGTTAATTCCCTTATCTGGGTCCGCGGACACTTGGGAGTCTACCAGTTAGTTCGTCTTGGTTGGTCAATGTATAAAACTAAATATATCCGCATAAACTGACTTATATTGCAGCATCGAGTATATAACCAGAAATAGAGACGAAATATCATTTAATTTGTTATATGTAATTGTTGTCTGAAGCTAAACAATTTTGGGATTTTTATGCTCTTGTGGTGACCGCGAGATTAGGCTAATGTGTGCGTCCGTACGTGGCGTGTGGTGGGCGTGCACATAGAAGGCGCGTTGCTACATGTGTTTTGAGATATGGTAAAAATAACTATGATGTGCAGCTTAATGAAACTAATGGGAATAGAGATAAATATATTAAATTTATTCCCACTGTATGGAACAATTGTTGCACGTGGAACTGAGTACATGGAACTACTAAGAATACTATATATAACATTCTCTATGTGATGGATTTTATTTTAACAAGGAAATTCACGGTCAATTCTTGAAATAATGAGTCTATTAATAATATATAAAACTAAAAAGTATAGTCAAGAGCACATCAAACTTAACACTTTGTACTTTGGACCGTTCTTATCGTAAGGGGCATAGAGTTGGATTTAAATCTTAATTTAAAAAGCCGTAGTAGTTTGATGATTTGACCGACCGCCTCTTAAGTAGAGGCCATGTGTTCGAAACAGGGCTCGCGCCTTTGAGTTTTTCGGAATTTATGTTAGATTTAATTTGCAATTTTTGGCATGAGATTTTCAGTGAAGGAAAACATCATTATGAAACCTGCACGTTGAAGAAGGTTCACAACCTTCGGAAAACGTGTGAAGTTCCCATCGTGAGCAGTGGGACGAATAAATGGGTTGATGATGAAGTACATTAAGGTGTAGCTGGGCAGAGCAATCACTAGGTTGTCTGACGATCTTGTTGTAGGGTGGGGGGTTGTGGGGTGAAGATGCATCGCAAGACCGGCCATTGTAGCGATCTTTTGGCAAAGTCTTCATCAATGACGTTGATTGAGGGCTAATTTAAAAACGACACTTGCAATAAATAAAAGGCGAAATTATTTTAATGCTTTAAACGGAAATGTAATTCGATTACGTATTTAATAAAACACTGTAAATAGTATTCTAAGTATTAATAGAATAAAAATGCAATACAACGATATCTACCGTATTTTAAAATAATATACTCTGGTTGTGGTTTTGAAATGCAAGATTAATGAAAATGAATTTGTTTAGTAATTGTCATATAACACAGAACATAAATCTTCCGCAAGGCAGCAGCTGTGTTCCAAAATGAAGAGTGGGGAAAGTTGCCCTCCCTTAGCGGAAGTATGCAGAAGGGACCTGAATCGTGTTTCGTGCCCACCTGCGCACCCTCAGACCCGTTACTTAAATTATTAAACGGGTTAAGTGCCTTCAGTTCGCTCGTTTCTTCGGTGGCGAGTCAAGGTCATCGCCGACCAACTGCAAACTATATTTTTTATTTATAAATAAGGCGCCTTCAAATTAAGCGTTTGTAGTGACGCGTCTGGGGCGCTACAGCAATCGTGCGCGATAGAGCGCGCGTGTAAAGATGGAACGAAAAGAAAAAGACCGCGCGATTGCGCACATCAGTTGCGCTCGCAATCGTGCACTCCAACACGTTTCACGCGGTCTATACTGCGCTATTAGCCTTTACACGGACGTTCTTTCCGTTGTAACAAAAACGAACACGAGCAATCGCGCGCAAAAAAACGTTAGCTTAAAACATTTCAAACAAGTGATCGCGCACGACTGCGCGTGAAGGCATTCCTGCGCGCAATCCAGATCACGCGCAATAGAGTGATAACACTGTCGCTAAGGGGCTAATATCCCACTGTACCGGTCCTATAAACGTTTAATTTCAAGATGCCCTTATTAAGCTATGAAGCGACCTAGCCTTGAACAGTCCTAAATTCCATTTTATTCGGAAAATACGTTGCCAGTAGTGTATTACATTCCTTTGCCGTACGTATTAGGAAGGAGGAAGCAAAGCCCTTCGTGCGAACGGGTGATATGTCAACGATAAAAGGATTGGCTGTTCCGGACTTTCTAGTTAACCAAAGTAGTAACGATAAAGGTGGTACTAAATTAAAAAGTTCTTGCACACACAATTCGAACTGTATCCGACAGAAAACCGAAAGCTGGTCACTTTTTTGCGATGATCTAGATCCTTCAGAAAAAAAGGAAGAGAGTCAGTGCAGTCACAAGCACAGAAATCTTATGACCTGGTGTCCCACGATCGATAAGGATATATATATTCTATTTATAGGTGACGTTTACCACTTTCCATAATATGGATCGCTTGCTCGTTTCAATACCTCATAAAAAGGGCCATAGTTGTCACAATGAATAGGCCCGTTTTGATAGCTAAAGCTGGCTTCCCACGGCCCGTGGTGCCACAGGACATGTCGCGCGGGCCCGTGCAATCAGGGGCTATGGGAACCCACCTTAAGAAAAAAATGGAATTTAAATTTGCGTGAAATCAACGAAGCAAACTTATTGCCTTTTGAAAAGACAATAATTTCATTGTCGAATTATATAATGTGCGAATTATATATGACTGAACATATTTCAAGTGTCACTTTTGCAAATCAAATCAAAAATTAAATGTAATTTTGGATTTCTGCGAACCGTCACATAATAAATTAATTTATTTTATTAATAATGGTGTAACCAATTAGTCGATCAATTTCACAAGACTTATTTTGATTCCACGTAAAAATACTATTTTAATATACATAATAAATAGTTACTCAGTACCTAGAATCAAGAAGCCAGATTTAATTTCCCGTTTTTATGACAAATTTCAAAATTACTGTATTGGTTTCTACCTAGCGACACATAACGCCTACCCAACACGCGCATTCTTTCGCCATCTTGGAAATTGACTTTGTGTTCGTTTGTTTTTAGTGTCTTTCTCTTATGACTTGGATTTACTTTTGAACTGTTTCTGTCTGTGATCACGTTGAACGTAACACTTATAATTTTATTTATATTGTTAAATGAAAGCTAATTATTCTATACTTAAAACCTATGAACCTAAAAATAATCTAAACGATCTCAAGCTCATAACACGTTGAATCGATTTGCCGTGAGATCTGGTTAACGATTTGATTTGTTCATATTCTTAGTTACATGGGCAGATGACAAATGTCAATAACGAGCCTATTATATTTTGACAAGTATAGTTTGTTTTAAACCCTAATAGAGGTTAGAGGTTTTTGGCCAATTTTAAAACCAAAATTCAGGGAATCCACCTTAAGAAAAAAATGGAATTTAAATTGACGTGAAATCAACGTTTTATGATACAAAATGTAATTCAAAGTTGTTTTATTATTTCAGGATCAAAAGTACGTTAATCTGGCATCGAATGTTTAAATTCAGCTCTATTCCGCATTGAATAAGGTCGGACTGCCGAAAATTCAAATTGTCAAAATATGTGTGCTCTTGACTGTTTAATAATATTTTGATTGGCTGCGAGTCGCATAAATGTAGATGTTAAAAAAACAACTGAAAAATTCATGTGTTTTCAAAACCACACCCTCTGCGAGACTAGCTCGTGCAACCGAAGTTTTGCTTAGAACCGCCAACATTGACTGTTCACATTTCTGTTCTATTTACTTCCTCTTTTATGTTATTGTAAACTGATACGCGCTCGATTATAAGACTGTTTACAACAAAAAAATAAAAACAATGATAACGTTGTGTATTTGTTTTATTTGTCGTGTATTTGTTATCTTATTGTCTAATTATATATCGTGCCTATGATAAGAAAAAAAAAACAAAGCTTTAGTCGTCTTTTGTTCAACAAACCATCTGGCACCTTCTAATCTAAATGACAGTACAATTACAGCAGATGAATTTCTTTGATAAAAAGTTCTTTGGCATAACGTTTGGAGAATTTGAATAGCAGTAAAGCTCCTAGTGAAAGTGTTCATCCAGGGAAGTACTGCACACCTTACCTATTTCTGCCGCCAAGCACATGGAGAAATTACAGACTCGTGGGACTTGTCAATTTATGTATGTATCAGATTGACGGGCGCTGTGGCAATGCCCGTCAGATCTTCAGAAAAAGACTTGTAGGTAGTTCGGAGGTGCAGGATTTATATAAAATTTTAAAATCTGTATGTAATATCCCTGAGTAACATAAAGTCGTAAAACCAGATGTTTTACTTACAATACCATACAACCTACTGCCATTATGGCCTAGCACTGAATGTATTTTTTATGATACTAAACGACAGGACGAACAAGTGCCCGAGTGACTGGTACGCCTAACCGTAAGCGTCCAGTTACACTAAAAAAAAACTTAACATAAGTATTGGTAAAATACCTAACGCTCAAATTTTATAATATTTCTTCATATTACATAAACAGCAAGGCACGTTCTCTCGCATAATTCCAGCATATTTTCCAGCTCGTGTGTCGCGATACGACGCAAAAGGAGCGCGCAATTTATTTGATAAAATATTCACTCGCGGCATTTTTGTTTCGACCCCGTACCGTTGCAGAATGCAGCTGTGACCGAACACTCCAGCTTGCGATAGCGGATTAGATACTAGGTGATTTATGAAAATATTTCAGAAGTCTACAAATGATTCCTCAACAACCCAGTGTCACGTAGTTCACGTTGTTCGTGAAAGAAAACATGTAGTTAAAGTATCAACTGCAGGGATCCAGTAATTTATAGGAAGAATGAAATTTAAATTATCCCATAATTTTACAATAGAAATATCCTAAGAGATTAACAAGTAAACACACAATATTTAATCAACAACAACATTTTTTTAAATATTTTTTGAAAGTACAAAATAGTGTCATCGATTTGTATCATTTTTCAAAAGTTCTCGGCTAAAGTTGATTGTTGTAATTATGCGTTAAGAGGTCTCGAAATATTTAAAATCAACCCTGTAATTACTTACAGAAGCAGTCGGTTTATCATCAGTCCATCGCAGTCATAGATATGTTGGACATAAGCCTCGTAAGATCGTCAGCCCATCGGGCCAGAGGGCGTCCTACACTATATTTGCCAAGACGTGGTCTCCACTTACGAACTCGTTTCCCCTATTTGTTATCGGTTCTCCGACAGACATGGCCAGTCCACTGCCACTTCAGCTTGTTTATTCTGTCAGCTATAT